GAAGGCCACACCTACTTCCAATAATGGTGGTTTCTTTCAAACCATCACAACCTGAAGGAATTATTTTTGGCTCATAGTCTGAGGATAAAGTCCCTGATGAGGAGAAGGCACATCAGCAAAAGTTATTTGAGGCTGTGATTGAGTTAAAGAAAGAAAGAAAATATCTCAAAGAACCTGGGACCCAAAGATTTCTATTATAATATCCACATGGTTTGGGCCTCCTCTAGTCAATACATTCAATAGAAATTGCTGCAAGCTGATGGTATCTTCTATGTACTAAACTGAAACAATCTTAAAGCTACTTTGGAGGAGTATACCTTTCTATCTGTAGCAGAATATTTCCCTATACAAAATATTCCTGGAGATAAATTCACAATCCCAGATTATAAAACACAAGAGGAAATAATGTTTCATGAGAGCCACCTGGAGCAATAGGAAAGAATAAAGTACTCCAAATTCCAGAAAATAGAAAGTCTCAGTGTTAATGTTAAAATAAGAACATTTCAAAATACAACAAATGGGAGCTGGAGGGATGGCTCAGTGGTTAGCAGCATTTGCTGATGCTTATAGGACCTGGGTTCAGTAGAAACCACCCACTTAGGTGCTCATAACTCACCACCCGTAACTCCAGCTCCGGATTCAGCCTCTTCTCCCATGTCCTGTCTGCATATATACATAATTACAGACAGTCACCTATAATAGTAAAAACTTTTAGTTATGTTAGCTAGGTTTTCTATATATTGAGAGATATATTTCAAATGGCTAGGCATTCTTCAAAAACCTTTCAAAGACCTACAGAAAAGGCATTTAACATGGTTTATTAGGGTATTTCATGACAATGAGACACAACTGCTCCTGGCAACACAATTACGTCAAGAAGTCGGTGGGTATTGAAGAAGCTCCTTATGGAGTTTATTTTCAATATGTCAAGACTAGCCATTTGAGTAAGAAACTGCTCTTTTCTGGATGGTTTGACTGTATGCTGCATAAACTGGACATGCAGGAACCATATAAAGTGACTGCCGAACTTGCCAAAATAAGATGGGATAGTCAGTCCTTCAGGAGGCAGTACCAGATATGCCCCTGTCATGCCCTCAGGGCTGGCTCACCCATGTCCTTATATACAGGGTCAACTGGACTGTGCTTCCCAGGCGAGCAGTAGCGCCTGTTCTCCCAAGTACTGGAGCTGATAAGGGGTTGGGTCAGCTACCCCACCTGCTGCAGGTATTGAGGGGCACCTACACTGTATTGTGGTGCCCGAGTGAGGTGTAGGATCCTCTCTCCTGAGTGCTTCAGGCAGCCAGAGTCAGAGCCAGTTCTCCCGAGAGTTGCAGCCAGTGAGGGGCTGGGCCAGCTCTGCACAGTCCTCTCCCTTCTGCCTTTAGTGGTATCAGGAGCCAGAGACGTCAACACAGCCCATGCCTGCATCAGGGCCATGAACCCATACATGGGCCCCAGCAGAAGCCAAACCCAGACATCATCATGGCCTCATGGCAATCAAGCCATCTACTCACCTCAGCCTGCTCCTCACCATATCAATGTTAAAAACAGGTGAAATGCCTTTCCCTTGTTATTCTTCTTCAAAATTGTTTTACAGTTGTCACATTGTTGTCACATTCTCTGGGATATCAGGATTATATTTTTTTGTTTTAGTTGATATATATAGTTTAGTTTAGTTGTTTAGTGTTGAACATAGATATTAAGTGGGGAAGAATTTACAACATCAAATATATTTATCTAGAACCATAATACAGGCCATTTGTTTGGTTCCCTTTCTATTGTAATAAGTTACTTTCAGCTAGGTATAATGGTACACGACTTTGATTCCAGCACTTGAAAAACAGAGATGGCTGAGGCAGGCAGATCTACATGAGTTTGAGACTAGCCTAGTCTACATGAGTAGTTCCAGGCTGACAAGGGCTATACAGTGAGACACTGTCTCAAAACAAACAAACAAAAAGAACAAAATTAGTTACTTTCTTTACAAAAGTTCCACACAAATTTTGTTGTGTTTATGTTTTCAAATTGCATTTCTCATTATTTGTTACTGGGAAAGAATAACTTTCAATGTTGTGATATTGAAAAATCAAGCAGTACAATTTACTTAACTGATAAATTACGATGTTTGTCAAATTTTATAAATTTTAATAAATATAACTAACAAGTAATGACATATGCCAGTCAATCATTTTCCTTCATCATTGCGCTGACCAGGACTTCTAGCACAGTGCTATTAGCAAGGGTAGAAGATAGTGTTCTTACCCATAATCTTTCCCTTTTAGGTGTGACTCTTAGTTCACATTTCTATTGTTTACTCCCCATATGCTAAAGAAATATTTAATAGCCATCTCTATTTGAAAATAACTCACATTATCCTATTCACATACTTATTACAATTTTGATATCAAATTCTATTAGTCTCAAAAGTATTCAAAAGCTCACTGTTTACATGTTGGATACCTACAAATACTAATTTGACCTTTTTTCATGAGGGGAAATGTCTTTTTCTACCATAATATAATAATGTTCTTAACTATTAATTTTTTTTATCTTTCACAGCCTAGAATGCATTTCCTATCCTTTAATTTTAGCCCCTCCTTAGCAGTATAAGTGACTCACATTTCATGACTGGATTTTTAAAAACCTGCAACGAAGATTGCAATTAAACTGTTATATTTATGCTTGCTATATTAAAATATTTTGTTTTATTGCCAACCCATTATTTCAAACTTTCTATTAAACAAGCTTTTGATAAAGTTCCTCTTTTATCCTTTTCCAACTCAATCATGTTTTATTCTTCAAATTGTTTTTGAAAGCATCAGCTATGGATGATTTTAATGGTTGCATTTAAGTTTCAAATTATATTAGATTTAGTCTTATGTACCTTCAACTTAGCAAATTATAAAATCAGTATTTCTTTATTCTTCCCAAACAAGCAACACAAATATTTTAACTCTTATTTTTCCTTCAATCTTACATGCCATTTTTGCTCATCATTTAAATTTCAGCTCAATTTTTAAGCCATGCCCTCAATTTATTTTTATTAGTCATACTGTTTATGTGATTGATGTTTCTATCTATTCACATTTTACTAAACACTTGGGTCACCATTGCTTCTCAATAAGGTTTAATTTTCTTCTTGATGATGTCCCCACCCCTGCCATATGGTGATGTGGGTGGGAAGAGATGTCCTCCCCTCTTGTGTACCCCTGACCACCTGTGGCAGGTGGAAGAGCTGGCCCCGAGGTCATGAGAAAGGGAAAGCTGGCCCTGCTCTTCACCAGCTGCAGCACTCCGGACAGTGGCCCCTGCATCTCACCTGGACAACACAGTAGAGCTGGCCTTGAAGGTGCTGGTGGAGAAGAGCCTACCCTGAGTGTGTGAAAGCAGAACTGACCCCACCTTTTGCTCATCTCTGCAAAGGGTGAACTAGCCAGGACAATGCTGGAGAGCTCTCCTTGGTTGTGAAGATGGGGAGAGCTAGCAGGCTGACTAACCCTGCAACTACCTAGGCCCCGAATCAGGGCTAGGAGTTGACCCACCCTAATATCCATCTCATGTATGACCTTCTGGAGCACTTGGGGGGAGGTGATCCTATAGACCCAAAGCTGCAGGATCTCCACCATACAAGAAAATAACAGGATATCCAAGAGGTATCCCATCAAGGGCCCAGCAGATAGTGTAGCAGAAAGCACAGGCCTCAATCCAGACTAGTGACTCTTTGCAATGAACACTTGCAAGTAGAGATACGTAGACAAAGGGGTTTGCTGCATCACCCACTGTGTCAAGGTTCAGTTTCCATGACAAGATTTTTTTCTTTTTTTCCCATTTAAATTTTATTTTATTTGAAGGAAGGCTGTAAGGGCTGAGGGCAAATATGAAGGGACAAGAAATTAAGGGGATGATGCGAAAAATGCATGATGTGAAAGACAGAAAGCATAAATAAAAAGTCTTAAAAAGTAAAAGAAGGTTGATTATAAAGCTCTAGTAAGGGAAAGACTAATGCAGATGAACTGTTTGACAAATTAGACAATTAGCTATATTAACTAGAATCAGGCATAGCTGGGGTGTAATCAATAGAACTGAAAATAATTGGGAAATATTTATAATTATTTTAATAAAAACATAAAATTTTAAAATATAAATATGCCAAGTTAATATTTTAATTTCTTTTAAATTAGGGTATGGGACTCATTGAATTAGAGGCTGGTTTCTGATCTCATTACCATCCCAAGACAATGAAATTAAAAATTAAATTTTGTAGATATATTTTTCTATTTATTCAAGAGAACACATACAGAAGAATTTTTTCTTTTAAGAACTTGGGTGTTGTTGCGTTTGACACATAAATGTTTAGAACTGTAATATCCTCTTGGTGGGTTTCTCCTTTGATGAGTATATAGGATTCTTCCCTATGTTTTCAGAATTGTCTTGGTTTGAAGAATGTTTTGTCACATCTGAAAATGGCTACATCTGCTTGCTTCTTGGGTCTATTTGCTTGGATTAGTTTTTCTATCCTTTTAACCTGAGGTGATGTCTATTCTTAATGGTAATGTCTGTTTCTTTGAAATAGCAGAAAGTTGGATTCTGTTTTCTAAACTAATCTGTTAGTCCATGTCTTTTTATTGAAGAATTAAGATAATTAATATTGAATGTTATCAATGAGCAGTGAATATTGACTCCTGTGATTTTGTTGTTATGGTTGCCATTTTTGATTTACTGGTCTGGGATTATTTATTCCTTATGTTTTCTTGGGTGTGGTAAATCTCTTCAGACTGAAGTTTCCCTTTTTTTGTGCCTCTGTAGACCTGTATTTGTAGATACTGCTTAAATTTGGCTTTATCATGGAATATTTTTCTTTGTCTGTTGTAATTATACTTTTGCAGGGTATAATAATTTGGGCTGGTATATGTAGTTTCTCCTCCCTCACCCCCACCCCCATGGAGATGTGTTTTACATCTTTAGAAAAAGAATCCTAGGATTTTCCCTTCTGTGTATTTTCATCTTGCTTCTTCATGGTCCATGATGCCAGATGAGGTTGTCAGTACAATGGAGCCAAACTGACGGGATAGGAGCAGATTGTTCTGCCATTTTTCTAGGTTATTTAGCTGCACATGAAATCTAGGACTGATCATTCCACAGTTGTTCAACCTGCCAGTGAGGTTCATGACAATTTTCCCAACTCTGTGGTCATCAATGATTTCAGACTCACCAATGTAACTATGCTTCATTATCACTGTTAGAAACCTGACTATGACTTTGGAGCAGGGCCTGATGAGGACCTGGCGTTTGCCTCTCTTCTCAGCATTGTTGATGCTCTTCAGAGCATCAGCCAGGACATTCAGGCACACCATGGTAACAGCATGGAAAGATGGCAGAAAGAGGCCATCTGTTGTTTCTTATATTTTGTAGGATTCTCTCCAGGCCTTCCTGGCTTTTAGAGTCACCACTGAGAAGTCATGTATTTTTCTAATGGGCCTGCCCTTATATTTCACTTGGTCTTTTCCCCTTGAAGCTTTTAAATATTTTTTCTTTGTTCTATATTCAGTATTTTGAGTATTATATGTCATAGGGAACTTCTTTTCTGGTCCAGTCTATTTGGTGTTCTATATGCTTCTTGCACCTTGATAAATATCTCCTTAAATACCCCAATTAAAAATGGGGCTACAGAACTAAACAGAGAGTTCTCAAAAGATGGAAAACAAATATCTGAGAAACAAAGAAATATTCAACATCCTTAGTCAACAAAAATGCAAATAAAACTCCTTTGATATTTTATATTATACCAGTCAGAATATCCAAGATCAGTAAAATAAATGACAGCTCATTCTGGTGAGGATGTGGGGAAAGGGAAACACTCATTTTTGGGCATGCAAACTTGTACATTGTTGGTGGACATGCAAATTTGTATAGCCTTTATGGAGATCAGTGTGACAGTTACTCAGGAATTTGCAAATAGATCTAACTCAAGATCCAGATATACCACTCCTGGACATATACCCAAAAGACTTTACATCCTACTACAGAGACACTTAATCATCCATTCTCATTTCTGTTCAACTCATAATAGCCAGGAATTGGAAACATCCTAGATGCCTATCAACAGATAACTAGAAGTACATTTAAATAATGAATTATTACTCAGTGTTAAAAATTAAATTATGAAATTCACAGTTAAATGGATGGGGCTAGAAAGAAATTGTATTTAGTGAGTGTCTTACTCATTGTTCTATTGCTGTGAAGAAACAGCATGACCAAGGCAACTCTTAGAAAAGAAAGCATTTAATTGGGGGATTGTTTGCTGTTTCAGAGGCTTTGTACATTATTACCATGGTGGGGAGCATGGTGACATGCAGCAGTCATGGTGCAGGAGTAGTTAAGAGTTCTATATCCTGATCTTTAGGCAGCAGGAAGAGAAGTAGAGACTGGGCCTGGCATGGTTTTTGAAACCTCAAAGCCTGCTACCCAGTGGCACATTTCCCAAGGCCATACTTCCTAATCCTTCTAATCTTTTTAAAGAGTTTCTATGCTTTCAAATATATGAGCTTATGGAGGCCATTATTATTCAGACAACTTCAATGATGTAACCAGAACCCCAAAGACAAATATTGTTTATATTCTCTTATATGTGGATGTTAGCTTTTAAGCTTTTGATAAACATACTACAATCTGTATAACTACAGAGGCTAGGCATAGAGTAATGGACTGGGATGGATATCCTTCTATCCCAAGGAAGGAGGTATCCAATATATAGTTATGGAAAACAGAAGAAGATTGGAATGGGTGAATTAAATGGTGAAGAAGATGGAGAAGAGGATAAAAGAGGGAATACAAGGAGGGATAATTAACACTAAGGGACATTTGAGGACTCATGTAGAAACATATTACTGTAGAATCTTAACACACACACATATATGTACAAACATATACATATATGTATACACAAATGTATACACACGCATATATGTATATGTGTGTGTTGAGAGATCTGAATGGATTCACCAAGTATTTGGAGAGACAATGCCCTAACTAGTCATATTTGTCACCAAATAAAACTTCTAGTGTCAAGAATGGATTATATCTAATTGAGTTGTTGGCCAAAGGAGCCCCATGGAAACCCCCAAACAACTCAGGCTATTGGAAAAGCTGTTGATTGCTCTCCACAAACTTATGGATAGGTCTTATTTCTGGAAAAAAAATGTAGCTCATTGAACATGGAGAAGTCAAGCTGCTGCCTAACTAGAGTCTTCACCCTTGCTGACTAGTGTCCATGGTACTGGAAGGTACTCTGCATTCTTCTAGAAGGTAACCACCAACCCAGTTATAAATCCTGAGATCTGCAACAGTTAGCTGCCTTCATGATATGCTGCTATAACAGTAACACAAAGGCTGTAGGAGCAATTGGCCATTCTATGATTGGATTCAAGGTCCGCTACATGAGATAGAACCAGTGCCTGACACCACATCAATGGCCAAGTGCCTGAGACTAGATAGCCAACAAGACTAGGGGAAAATCAAATACTATTGTTCTGCTAAAGCTGTAGCCATAGATCAGTGCCTCACTCAGCCATCATCAGAGAAGCCTCCTCTTGCAGTAGATAGGAATTATTACAAACATCCACACTAGAAAATGTACAGAGAGCGCAAGATTTTGGAACACTTAGTACAAAATGGGATTTTTAAAAAAATCAAATTATCTCCCTCCCAGGACACAGGAATCTATGCAGAAGAGGAGGTCAAAGAGTATAAGAGCCAGAAGGGATAAATAAAACCAAGGAATTAGTGTCTTCCAGACATAGCAGGATTCACACACATAAACTCACAGAGACTGTGACAGCATACACAGGACCCACACAGGTTCAAGCCAGACTGGCTACCAGCCCATATGAAGTCCCAGCACTGAGAAGACATAAGTTCACTTTCCTAACCAAGAAGCTATCTCCAGTTTATGTCTGCTTGCAAAGGAAAAGTTAGTTTTCTCCACTGGTTTCTCACTGGGCATATAAACCACACTTGAGGGCAGGCTATATGCCTAGCAGTAAATGGACAGCATAAAATGAACTCAATTTTGTCTCATATTGTTTGGTCTTGGAAAAAATCCTACTAGTCTTTTGCTTTGTATATTATAGCTTCCAATTTTGTGTTTTTATGAGATTTGCTCTCTCTCTGTATTTATTGTGCTTTTTCTTTTTAAAAGATTCCACTTTTTAATTCGCCTGTTTTGTTTGCTTGGTTTTTTTTTTCCCTCTTATAGTTACATCCTGACCACAGTTTTCCCTTCCTCTACTCTTCTCAGTCCTTCCACCCCCACCTTCCCTCTCCCCCCCAGATCTACTTCTCCATTTCCCTTCAAAAAGAGAGCAGGCTTCCTAGGCATTATGACCAAAATATGGTATAATGAGTGACAATAAGACTAGGCACAAACCCTCATATCCAGGCTGGACGAGGCAACCCAGTAGGAGAAAAAGATTTCCAAGAGCAGGCAAAAGAATCATTGATATGCCATACTCCCACTGTTAGAAATCCTCCAAGAAGACCCAGCTACACAGCAATAACATATACAGAGGACCTAGCTTAGACCCATACAGGCTTCATGATTATCACTTCAGTCTCTGTGAGCCCCTTTGAGTCCTGCTCAGTTGATTCTATGGATTGTGTTCTGGTGTCCTTGGCCCCATTGGCTACTTCAATCCTCTCCCCATTTTCTGTGGGGTTCTTCTGGCTCTGCCTAGTGTTTGACTATGAGTCTCTGCGCCTGTTCCCAGCTGATGCTGGATGAAGCCTCCCTGATGACAATTGAGCTAGGGACCGATCTACAAGTATAGCAGAATATCATTAGTGATCACTTCATTGAAAAAAAATTCTAGTCGTGTTTGGTTCTATTTGGGTCTCTGAATCATCCGCTTCTGGATCCTGGCTATCCAGGCAGTGTCAGGGGTGGATTCCCTCTTCAGGCATAGTCCTCAAGTGGGCCACTCCTACAAGTTCTGTGCCACCATTACCCTAGCACTTTTTGGAGGGAGGGCAGATTGTAGGTAGAAGGATTTGTGGCTGAATTGGTGTCCCAGTCTCACTGCTGGAAGCTTTGACTGGTGATGGAAGATGGACAGTTAAGGCTCCATATCCCCCATTACTAAGTGTCTTCAATAAGATCACTCTTGAAACTTCCAGGGAGTTTCCATTGCTCTAGGTTGCCATGTTGTCCTCAAATGACCCTCCCAGTTCCAGTCATCTCTCCCAGTACGCTCTCCCTCCTTCCATATATCCCCTGCCCAATCCTTCCTATTCCCTTCCTTACTAGACCAAGTCCACTAAAAAAATATTTTCCCTTACCAGGGATATCCCTGTGTCCCCCCCCCCCCAGAGCCCTCCTTGTTACTTAGTCTCTTTGGGTCTATGGACTGTAGCAAGATTATTCTTTACTTAACAGAAAATGTCCACTTGTAAGTGATTACATACCATGTTTGTCTTTCTGGATCTGGGTTACTTCACTTGGGATTATTTTTTTCTAGCACCATCTATCTACCTGCAAATTTAATGATGTCTTTGTTTTTAAAAGCTGAGTAATACTTCTATGCATAAATGTAGCATGTTTTCTCTAGCCATTCTTTGGTTGAGGGACATCTAGGTTGTTTAGTTTCTGACTATTATGAATAAAGTTTCTATGAACATGGTTGATCACTTGTGGTATGATTAAACATCCTCTGGGTATACATCTAAGAGTGGTATAGCTGGATCTTGATGTAGATTGATTCCCAATATTCAGAGAAAATGCCATATTGATCTCCATAGTGGCTGTACAAGTTTACACTCTCACCTGCAATGGAAGAGTGTTCCCCTTTCTCCACATCCTCTCCAGCATTAACTGTCACTTGTGTTTTTGATCTTAGTCATCCCAACAGGTGTAAGGTGGAATCTCAAAGAAGTTTTGATTTGCATTTTTCCTGATGGCTTGGGATATTGAACATTTATTTGTTTCTCAGCTATTTGAGATTCCTTTGTTGAGAATTCTCCATTTAGATCTGTATCCCCATTTTATTTGAATTATTTGTTTTTTAGTTGTCTAGTTTCTTGAGTTCTTTATATATTTTGAATATTAACCCTCTGTCAGATGAGTTGGTAAAAATCTTTTCCCATCTTGTAGGCTGCCATTCAGTCCTTTGGACAATGTCCTTTGCCTTACAGAAGCTTTTCAGTTTCATGAAACCCCATAATTAATTGATGATGTTAGTGCCTATACTAATGGTGTTCTGTTCAGAAAGTTGACCCCCTGTGCCAATGCATTCAAGGATACTCCTCACTTTATTTTCTGTCAGGTTCAATGTACCCGGTTTTATGTTGAGGTCTTTGATCTACCT